CGTAGTAAAAGAGAGGGCTATAAATTATTACAATTACGTAAGTAGGTTCTATAGGATACGGACAACTTTATACTTTAGTAAATATTCCTATAAGACTATTCGAAAAATAGTAGATAGGAGGCAAGAAGCTATAAGAGGATTTAGAGAAGCTACTAGTACGGTAGAGGCGAGTAGAAGTAGCGGTAGTTTATAAGGTATACTAGCTAGCTATAGACGCTATACGAGTCCTACGCCTAAGGTAACTTTAAAGAGTTACAAGCGATATAGTATCTAAGCTAACTATATAAGCTATACTAATTCTACTCTAGAGAAAAGGTAGGAGCGACGATAAGGAGCGGTCTATAATAAGGAGAATTCTCTAACTTTACTAAACGTATAGTATTAAGGATACGACTTACTACTATAGCCGTAATATATTCGTCTAAAGTAAGTATAATACTTATAACTCTATTATAGCCTAAAACTAGACTATATCGGGTAGCAATTCGTTCTAAGGAATTAATCTACCTCTAAGCTAGCTTAATAATATAAAGAGGGCCTCGGGAATATACGAAATTTAAGCTCTAATAAGACTAATATTATCTCGTAATACTAAATCTTTCCCTACTAGATAGTAGGCCGTAGGACAAAGATATACGCGAAATAACGTTAACTATCGATAAGATAAAGGTAACGAATACTACTACGGCTTTGCCTTCGTCTTTTTAGTATAATATAAAAAGAAGCCCGCTCTTCTATTAGCCCCTTACTCCGTTCGCGTTTAGTAAATAGAAGAAGGATATAGCCGTTAGTAAAAGCAGCTTCCCTAGAGTTACCTTTAATAGTCCTTAATATCGTACCCTACTTATTATTACTATACTTCCCTATATTATTTTCTGACTTTAAATAATATACGTTAACTCCTCGCCTATTACTTATAAACCTTCTCTAGAAAAGGCCCTTCTATAGTCCTACTAAAGACGATAAAAGCCCCTAAAAGCGCTTATACGTTCGCGAATACCGAGACGATAATAGGAAGTAATATAACTTCCGAGAGTATTAGTAAAGAATGTTAGGTGTATTTTAATCTCTTCTTAATAAACGCCTTATATCTACTAGTAGCTAATCCTTCGAGCGGTACCTAACTAAGAGCGCTAGCTACAGCTCTTCTTCGGTAGGCTAGAGCTAGTTATACCTATAAGTTCGTCGTCTTATATAGAGAGTATAGTAAAGGGATTAGATTTAGTTTCCTAAAGAAGGCAATAATCTTTACTCTCTTTTTATATTAACGTAGTAGAATTACTCCTATACCGAGGTTATAGACGCTACTACATATTATAGACTCTCCTTTACCTATAGAAGCTATAACTAATAAATATTCGGAAAGCGCTTATACGCTTAAGTATTACTTTACTATAATTTTCCTCCTAGCCTACGACGTTAGTCTTATCCTAATCCTATAAACTATAGTAATAACTCTACCCTTTATATATACTTCTTTACGTTTAGACTAAGCCTATAACTCGGCAAGCTCTATAAGTAATAATAGGGGACGAGAAAATATATATAAAAGATATCTCTCTATATCCTATCCTAGAGGGAGTAGTAGTAAAGCTTCTATTAAAGTAAAGAAGAGACTATAAGGAGAGAGGCCTTATAAAAGTAGCCGTAGGTAACGTAAAGTCTATCTATTCTACGTATCTACTAAGGGATCTTTAAACAAGTAATCTAACGACGTTAGCCTAATAGACCTAGATAAGTAGGAGCCTAGGTATATAGATATAAAAAGCAAATATCGGAATAATATAGAAGAAATAAGTTAGGAAGGAGTAAGCTAGAGAGGCGTAAGTTTAATAAGCGCGTAATTAGTACTATTAACCGGAAGTCGAATAGTAGCTACCTACTATACTATAGTATTACGGCTATTAGGTAGGCGGATAATATATTACTAGTAATAGTCGTTTAGGTAGTCTTAGAATACTAGCGTATAGTAGTAGGTAAGGATAAGCTATAAGATAAATACCTAAAGATTAACGTAATATAGCGTAGGTAATTAGGTTTAGATTATCGTCTAGCTAGTATAACTCTACTCTATAGTCTTAAATAGGCAAAGGTTTAAAAGGCTTCCTACGAGTTTATAAGTCTCTACTACTAAACCTATCTCCTCCTATATAATCTATAATAATATATAACTACTATCGCTAACCTTCTATATATAATTCTTATAGTCTCGTCTAAATCCTCCCTACTACCGTCTTTATACTTATACTACTATAGTTTATAAGATTATCGTTTTATAGAGTCTACGCTCTCCTATTACTATACTACGTTTACGCTAATCCGAACTATCTCGCGCCTTACGTTTTATTCCTTAGTCTAAACTATATTCTTTATCTTCGGCTATATAATCTAAGTATATTTCGAAAAGGCGATAAGTCCTAATAGATTTCTACTATAATTCGCTATATATAAAGGGAATGTATAGCGTATCCCTAGGGTATAACGTTCGTCTATAAACTTAGTAGTAATAGAGTTAGAGTATTACTTAGCTTCGAAATTGCTATAGGTCCCTATAATACTCCTAGAAGGGCTAGCGTATTCGAGTAGTATAGTATAAGCCGGTATATCGGCAATTTTCGAGAAAGCTATAGCCTAAGACCGTAAAGCTTCGAATACCGGCGGTATAAATATCCTACTACCGAAAGATCTTTACGCGGCTTTAATTTTTTTACCTATACCGTCTATCCTTATTAATACGCTATTTACGCTTAACCCTAAAGCTTTTCTACTAAATTTAGCTATCTATATAATCCGGAATATACGACACTTACTAAGTAAGTATAGCAACCTCGGACAAATATAGCAGGCATCTTAGTGGACTATAAATCTTTATCGGTACGCTATAGAGCCTAAAATTAGAAGCATTTCTACTAGACTTTAGTACTAGACTCGATGCCGAGAGTGCTAAAGTCTATAAGGAAATGTAGCGACGTCGGGTATAGATAGTAGAACAAGTATCTCTCTAAAGCTTTATAATTGCCGGCTAACGAGTATAAGCCGAGCACTTTTATAAACTCCCTTCCTACGTCTTCTAAGTACCGCTCTACGGCTGCTATAAGCTCTACGAGCCTAACCTACCTCTATTTAGGCGCCCCGCTTTATAGGCTTATATGTACCTTCTACCTTCTACCTTCTACCTTCGATCTTATATATATATTAGTTTCTATTCTCGCTCGTTCTTATATTATCTACACTAATATATATCTAGTTAGCGGTCTATACTAAGCCTATAGCGAAGCGCCTAAAAGAAAAGCGTACAGCTCCTATATAACCGTCTAGTATATAAACGAGATTTCGAATTTATAGAAGTATAACTATATATTAGATAGACAAACCTAAAAAAGCTATTCTACGTAACGATAAGAAGAAGATTTATTCTTATATAAGCCTATTGCTAATTTAGATACTATAGGCTATATTTGCTATACACTAAGGCTAGTTATCCGTAGAACCTAGCTTAAATCTAATAGCTTCCTCTACTCGAGGGTAAGACAAGACCTTTAATACTAGATATACGGACAATAAACACTAGGAGATCCGAGTCTATAGCGATACAAAGGGGCTCCGTATACTAGAAAGGAGGTCGTAGTCTTATATTGTTACTATCTTGCCCTCGGAGGCAAATAATAAGACTTTTATCGCAATCTACGTTTCCTCGTAGCGGATAGAACGCGGTAACAACCCTCCGTCGTATTCTATCTTAGAGTTAGAGGGCCTAGCTAAATACATTGCGATAGACCTTAGCTACTTAAGATTATTATATCGCCGTAGAGATAGTAAGTTACAGCCTTCGAGGGCAAATAGCTATATACTACCTACTAGTTTAGCCTAGTTTGTTATTAGGCTTATAGGCGAAGAATTAGTTATATATTATTAAAGTGTCGTAAAAGTCCTATTTAATATTAATAAAAGTCGATATAACGTAATTCTTCCTCCTATAAGCCTAAATAGAGGTAGAGCCTAATACGACGTAGCAAATACTATCGTTTAAGGCCTCTCGTTATCGGTATAGGAAGCTAAAGACCGTTATTACGAAGGAGATAGAGAATAGCGCTTTAAAGGAGTTAGAGTATAGTATTCTAAAGGAGCTAGAGTACGGCATTCCGAAAGAGTTAAAGTATAGTTATTTAGGAGGACTTTAGGCCTTCTCGTACAGCGACGCGTAATAAGTCTCTAACTTGTTCTAATATAGTTAAAGACGAACGTAGTAGCTAATGCGACCTTAGACTGCCTCTAGTACGAGACTAGGCATCTATAGTAACTTCGTTGCCTAGTAACGAGCGCTTTAAGTCCTCTACGTCTCGGCCCTTAATAATCTATAATCGCTGCTTTATATAGTATATCTTATAGGAAACTCGATTAGAGTAAAGCATACTCCTTAGTATAATATTACGCTATAAAGTCGACGTCGGGGAAGCGATTAGCCTATAGTAAACGAAGAAGTCGAGAGCTACCCTTAGGAAGAACAGAACGCGATTATAACAAAATTCGGGTAACGAGAACAGTTTCTACTAGATAATGCCGACGAAAGAAGTAGCAAGCTTCTACGAAGTACAAGCTACAAGATTAGGAAGAGAAAACCTCCTTAACAATTATAACGATATCGCTCCGCTTCCGGAGAGCCTATATCTTCTACTTAAGTTAGAATCGCGAGCATAGTTTAAGAACTTTATTCTACGACGGCTAAGACGATGCTATTCCTAGAGGATAGAGAGTTAAGCCGGTAGACTAGACGGGCTAAGTATAGAAGTAGTTGCCTACGGACATATATAGAATCCTACAAATCCTTCGCCGACTACCTAGTAATACGTCACTTGAGTTTTGGTTTAATGCATCTTAAATATAGCTTAAGAGCGACTATGCTAGTTGTAACAAAAATGCCCTTTAGCCGCGTCCTCTGTTTCTCCTCCGTAATAGTATCTCGGACTTCAACGTCTAAAGCATTCGGGCTCCTAGACTGCCTAAGGAAATAAGCAGAGTTCGAGGCTAGTTGATTTGGTAAGGTTTGAGGTTTGCTGAGCACTGAAGACGTGTAACGAGGTGAACTTAGGGAGATATCGAGTATCGCCACCTCCTATGACTTGGGCTGAGATCCAGAAGCCACGTTTGCGACTGACACCTCGTCAGGATGTGAAGAGTTCGGAGTAGCAGCGCTGGCAAGCGAGGATTCGACAGTTGGGGCTGCGTGATCGTCGGTCGCCTGGGGCACTGCGTCTTTGAAGCTGGATGCCACTTCTCGTCACTGGCTTCGGGAGCCTTCGTTGTCCGGTGTGAGCTTGAATCATTTTCAGCACGTGTGAGTGACACTGCTGCTAGGCATCTTGCCACTATCAGCACGAGGGATTGTGCCTGAAGGCAAGTTGTTGTGGAGTCAGTGTGCCCGGCAGCCTCTGCGTCAGCTGCAGTGTGACCAAGATTCGGGATACAATGAGCGATTCCCATGCCTTCAACGCATTGATCAGAGCGCACTCCGCCTCCATTTGCAGTCTCGACAAGTTGCGATGAGATTTTGTGCGGAACAACAGCTTCGCCGAGCTCTGCCTGCCGCTCATCAATGTCTTGGATGGCAGCGACCTGCTCCGTGTCTTGAGTGGCTCGCACGGCCGCAGTTGACTCGTTGGGCGGCTGAGAGTTGTGATCACTCACAACGAGCTCTTGATCTGGCGATGGGCGAGCTGTCAAACCCTTGTGCTGTGCCAGTGCTTTGGTCTCCGTCGCGTTGCTCGCGGGGACATTTGCCTTGTCGCCCTCGTTCACCTAGTGATAGATGATGGAGCTCCAGGTCCTTGTAGCCTCTGGACGTCCGCGGTTGTTATAGTGCAAGGCCTCATTTGCATTCGAAGAGTCCTTTTCGCCCGGCTTCCTCCTCGCTGGGGTTGCGATCACGCTCAACAAGCCCTCGCTCTAGCGATGGGCGAGCTGTCAACTCCTTGTGCTGTGCTGGTGCGCTGGTCTCGGCTGCAATGCTCGCTGGCACATCATCTTGTCGGCCTCGCGATGGATGGTGCTCTCGGTCTCTGTACCCTCCTCACGTCTCCACTGTTGTAATGGTGCAAGGCCTCATTTGCATTCGAAGCGTGTCTTTCGTCTTGACCTTCCTCCTGACTGGGTGATCCGAGCACTAGAAGGCGCTCGTAGCCTGGCGATGGCCGAGCTGTCAGGTCATTGTTCTGTGCTGGTGCTCTCTGGTCTCCGCTGCCATACTCGCTGCCGCACTTGCTTTTCGGCGTCGTTCACTTTGCGATTGATGGAGGTTCCGGGCGCTGTGGCCGCCACATATCCGCTGTTGGTCTGAAGCCCCACTTGAATTCGAAGTGTCCTCTTCGCCTTGTTCGCCCAAAACCTCCTCCTTACTGAGAGCATTCTCGCCCGGAACCTCTTTCCAACTCGGAGCGTTCTCTTCGCCAGGAGCATCATCCTTCTCTGAAACCTCATCTTCGCCCGCAACCTGCTCCCGCGTCGTCGTTCCAGATCTAGCAAGTGTCGAATGTTATGGGCTCGTCAAAGGACCAAAGTTTTGCATGGGACATGGTTGGCTTTGCCTCTGTTTCACGCTTGACCGTCACGGACATCGTAGCTGTCGACAAGAATCGCGAATTGACTTTCGATGTACAGTGGAGTAGAGTGCGGCGCGTGGATTGCGTCTGATGTGCGTGGCATTCGTTCTCTAGAGCCCAGTCTCCGTCCTGCGCTGACAAGCAGTTGTGGAGAAGAACCAGGAAGCAGGGAGGCGCAAAAACTTGACGTGCATATGGACGAGGACTCATGTTGCTGATCGGGACCGGCCTGGCGACAGAAGGGAAGAATGAGGCAGCGAGGATGACAGGCGCGCCGTATTTGCATCAAGAATACGTGAAAACATTTCGTGCGTTCGTTACGAGAGCTTCGCGTCCTGATCTCCACCAAAACCGACAGGTCAGCAGCTGTAGGCCGGCGTCCGCGCGTGGTAGCAGTGCAGGTTGAGAAGATTTCAGTGGTGGAGTCAAGATGGCGATGAAAAGTGCAGTAGTGAGCATCGAGGAGGCCGCCGCATTGACATTCTCCTACGGCAAAGTTGCTGGAGAATGCTCAAGTCCGCCAGTCTCGGGATCACGACCCCTGCCAATCCCTGCCGGTCCCCGGAAACTCAATCTGCGTGTGGAAAGTCAAATCTGCATATGGACACCCAATCTGCATCTGCATACTCAGTCAGCCTGCATCCCATTACTGCACTGAACCCCATCGCACAACTCCAACCCCTTCTCACCTTTCGCCAAGCTGTGCCATCCCGCGAATGCCTCCCACACGCTGACTCACAATGGAGTTGGAAAGGTGGGTGCCGTGCCGCATCTCCGTGGACATCTCATCTTGCAGCTTTGCGGACTAATCGAAGCTTGGGCAGGCGCAAGAAGACTCTCGACGTATACGAAGCGCTCTTTACGAACATTCGGGCGAGCCTGAGCGCTCTCGAAACCGGGCAGCATGACTTTATCCTCGCAATGGGACCCTCCGCCTTCCAACGATCCGATCTCCTCCAGAATGGCGATTACGCCGCAGTCATAGCCAGTGCAAAGGGCACAGTGTTCGGTGCTGAGAAGGCCTTCGAGAAGTACACTGCCATCGTCCACAAATGGAACCAGCACATCTACAACATGCAAATACTACTTTCCACAGTCGAGACGGAGCTGGGTGTGGCCAGGGACGCATTCGTGGAGACGCTACAAAACACAGCACGAAGTGGTATGTTGGCTGAGGAGACTTGCGCCAAATCGCCACCATACACACGCACGTCTGGATGCAAAAGCGAGACATGCAAAAGCGAGACATGCAAAAGCGAGACATGCAAAAGCGAGACATGCAAAAGCGAGACATGCAAAAGCCAGACGTGAAGACGCAGCACAAATTGATATGCTGGCTGAGGATACGTCCGCGAAAGCGCCACCATACACGCACGCGTCTGCATGCAAAAAGGAGACATCAGCGCCTAGCAGGTCGGAGGACTTTACTGCACGTCTTCGTGATCGCATGGCAAAATCAGGTTCGTCAAATGCCCACGTCAAGCGTACACTTCGGGCATGAGAGCTGAATCCAATACAAGCAGGTCAAACAAGGACATCTCATATCTCATCGGTTCAGCTGGCATCAAGCATCAGAACAATTCCAACTGGATCTCGATGCTTTGGACGGGGCAGCAAACGTCTCAACACAACCCATTTGAGATCCATCACCTACTACAGTCTCTACCAAGATCGGTAGCCTCTTACAGCTAGCATCAATCAAGCCGTTTTCCTCCTGCTTTTTCCACCTGACTTTTCCCAACGCAATTCCGGCCCTGCTGTGGAAGGCATGCCCACTCCGAACGGCGGTAACCTGCTGCACTGCCGTCTGCCACCCCCCTTTCGACTTTTTT